TTTCTTTTTTATTTACATAGATTCCATATTTTTTTCAACAAAAAATATCCGAGTACATCGAATACTAAGTGTTCCAAGTATTTTTGCATAAACAGGTAAGGAGAAACTTCTCATTAAAATGTATGAAGCTCGTTATCAGAACTCATCGAGATTATCAGAATAAACATCTGAAAATTGTATTTGATGTCGTAGAAATGATAAATATTAACAGATTATCCAATAAACATGTTTATTTTCTTTGTAACTTTACCAAGAATTGTTTGTTTAAAATGATGGAAGAATGTAAAACGTATCGTATCATCTTTCATTAACTAAGTAGGTCTTCAATCAAGTCAGGTTTAGAGGACGTCTGTTGTGACAGATAAAGCGAAGTCAGAACTTTATCTTGTTAAAATGTAATCGATTTACTCAGGTAAATAAAACAAAACTTTATCAATATGTGACAGTCTTTATTGTTATTTTATTTAGCTTAATAACAATGTACAGCGTCTTATATAAACATTGTACATAATTAAACATTTAGGAATACACATAACTAAGGCATCAACGTTACAAATCACAAGAATAGGTAATCTCTAAGATTTAGACATGAATCGGTGAGTTATTGAGATAAAAAAGCCTCTTAGAAATATAATGATATGATAACATTTTATGAAACCTAAATTAAGTATGTTTAAACACAAGGAGAAACAAATTTTCGTAAATGACAGCGGTATTTTTCGCTCGCTAAAGCGACATTGTATACCGTATGTTTGAATGCAGAACCAACATAACTTGATCTTTCTGAACTTTGCTATAATCGTACCAATTCCGTCATTCGCTTGTCAAAACTTAACACCTTCTCATTACACAGCTGACGTCAGAGAGGTCAAGTTATATTGGATGTGTCTACAGTCAACTAGGTACAATGAATTTCACTCCCAATGCAATATGGCGGGCAATCTTCAAGATTTCCGACTGAATAAAGCAGATAACGTATAATATCGTTAAGAAAACTCGCACATTTTCTCTTTGTACTGATTTTTCTTCGACAAAAGCAATGATTAAATGCAACGATGAATCTTAGCTTTTATTTATATCGAAATCTCGACAATTATTAGCTTAGCTCAAGATTGTTCAAAGAAATTCTCGTGCCAGCAATCTTAGTATTTAAATTGCGTTAGTTACAGATGACGAAACAGATTTTTCGACTTAAAATTTCCAGTCTAGCATTCAAAATTTGTAAAATATACTTTAGTAACTGAATTTAAATATTATTTTGCATCGTTTTACTCAGAATATTCTGGCATTTATAAATCAAATGCGAAGTTTGAACAGGATTACACAAATCGGGTCGGTCACAAATTACATTGCTAAGTGAAATTCATTGTATTCTCATCAAGCGACATTCAACAGCGATAATGGGTAACTAGGGCCGATTCCTCAACTATTTTGACCTGGGACTTTGGGACCGATAATCTTATAGTTCTTATAGTTATATAACAACTTTGTCTATAGTTTTAATTAACGACAAGTTTTGGTTGGAGGAGTTTTTGTTCGTAATTTTGATGTATTGGGGTTTAGAGTCCGTATTTATTTATGGTTTGTATAACAATGAAGAAATAAACTTGGTTTGCTATGGTAAACTAATACGTATGCTCATGAAGTTTGTATATCCTTTTATCACGTTGAGAGATCAAGTAATTCTAGCATGTAATTGTGTAATACACACAATTTTAGACAATATTGTAAAAACTGATACGTTTTTGCATCTCAGCACTATATGGTAGTTGAAAAACCTTCATTGTCCTGCAATAACACCAGATTTAGAACGAAAACAATGTAAATATGATAAACAAAACACACTGATATCTACTATCATTAAAACTCGTTGTAATAACAATTTTGTTCTATTAGTAGAACAATAACCAAGATTGTCTTTTATCAAACAATAATGTCATACACAGCGTTACCCAAACACCAGGCCATCAAAATAAAATACCGGGTTCTCTACTAATTATTATCGATGCAACTACGTAGGTAGGTACTAATACAACTCCTAAATTTTACGTTTTACAACTTCGATATACGAGTACTTTTTACTATTAGAATGGAATCTTATCAAAACATAACATCACGCCTTTTATCCCCGAAGGGGTAGGCAGAGGTGCACACAGAAGCGACACCCACTATTTATGTTAGAGTCCCATGTAATAGGGGGTGACCCTATTGCCATACCGGGCACATTTCCAGACTCCATGCTACCACTGAGTTTTTTTTAAACTATCAAACAGCGCGAGGATACCTGTGACCGCAACCTATTTTTCTTTAATTGTGTGTTACTCAAAGGGTAAAACCCAGTTATACTTTGCCCGACCCAGGAATTGAACCCGAGACCCCTTGCCCGGCAGTCGCACTTGCGTACACTCGGCCAAAGAGGCAGTCTTATGAATCTTATCGTATGCTATATTACTTTCGCGAGCCTCATAGTGAATAGAAAAATCTGACGAAATAACGTGATTAATTTCAAGTTATAATAAGGGTTCATATTTGTGCACAGCATTGCACGAAACTAGTCCACATACCAGACAAGCAGTCAGGGCCGTGAGTAAGCCGTAAAAACATATAAATTAAATCTAATTGAATCATTTTGACCACGAAAGATAACAATAAATTACAGAGCCATGGTAGAATGTTTGGGAAACGCTGTCATATAATATTACGGTCCCATCAGTCTTGACCTTCAGAAACCATCAATCATGGTACATTTATAGCTAATGCTATGTGAAACTATACATAAAATATAGACGTATTGTGCCCCGTTTAGAATCGGCCGAGTGACTTGACAGTTTTACTTGGACAATATTTTAGTGTATTTGTTGTTGTTACGGTATGCTTCTATTAAATAAGTTTTATAGATAATTTAGACTATAATTATATCTCGACAGTGATTAATGGATCTTGCAAATAACATAGCAAATATTTGTATTGTCTCGCAGCATCAGTAATCACACACAATCTAGTAAAACTGTCTGAACACTGTTCCCTAAACTTTAGTAACATTTTTGAAACTATGGCGTATCAATAACAAAACAAATATGAATGAAAATGAAATAATGTGTTGCACACACAAGATGAAGCCTCGTTCACACTTATAAAGTCGTACCAGTGATTCAAGCCAGTCACTAGCCTAAATTATAACTGTAAACGAGGCTTAACAGTCTACCATTCAAAAAGGTATAATAAAAAAGTAAAAAATCCCATACAAGCAATATTAACCCACACTTTACTAATGACTCAACATGAGTCGTTTTAATGTCGAAATTATTTTCAACCGTAACGAGTTGGAAAGGAAATAGTCACACTCAAATAAAATTAATCTTTCCTGCTCATAGAATACCGTACATTTTCCTTTACAACCAGTTTTTACGTTACCTACACGTTTCTCTGTGATAAAAATATAATTATTTTACGTAGTAAATATTTATCTATTTGAAATATAGTGTAAATATGCAATCTGTATACTTTTTCTATGTAAAATATTGTGTGAAGGCACCGCTATTTGTACTGCTTAATGTATAAAATTTACTTAATTAAAAAACTACATTTTATTTACAATTCAATTAATATTACTATCTACTTATTTACATGGCACAAACTTTTGTTTTGTCGTACAAACTCCTTTTATTTAAACTAAAATATACTGGGATTTAATTATTTTTACATGTTTTAGTAGCATGGCACTGGATTCGTTACCTACAGCCTATAATTTAAAAAAATAACTAAATAAACTTACTTTTCTTTTTACAAAATACAAATCATGTCCTTTTAAACTTCTATTCTTTTTAATCTGTGGCTAAATGTCACATACCTCTTCCAGCCAATCACAACAGCGGAAATATAGACCACAGATTAAAAATAGTCATTCAATACACACTCATACTCGAGTTTGTTGTCAAAAACGTTCAACATTTTTAACAGTTTGTCAAAACCTTTGAATAAAATATAATACTTTAATATAAAATATAGAAAATATAACAATAAACGGAATAAAATGCAAAATTAAAATTCATTATACATTCTGGCAACATTTTCAAATGTCAGCTGCAACGAAATTATAGATCTCACGAAAAATATAATACAAATTATTATTTTAACAAATGAATAGTATGAAACTATGCATGTCATAAAAAATTCATTTCATTTCTATAAACAATAATTACAAAATAATTTGGAGGGATCCAATACACGCTTTCCATTATAGGAATAACTTTATAATAACTGAAAACTACTTTTTCATGAAGAGATTCCATTAAATCGGCGAGGAACTATAGTTTGGGCAATATAATGAAATAGGTTATTATGTACACACACAAGCACATTGAAATACACTTAAATATCAGATATTAAAAAAATACAATAAAAGAAATTTAGAAGTAATTCAATGTGCTTATATCAAACTTGGTCATTAACTTTGCGCATGCACATGTAAACTGAGTCAACATAAAAATATTAGCACGTGTATATATACTATTGGCAGTTCAAAAACACTCTTTATTCTACACAAACAAGAACCAAAATAGTCACCATTTATTCAAAAAATAGTTTTTTCTTGTCCATACTTTTATTTCAAACACCATTTATTCTATCACAGGCTTTAAACACAACCGCACTAACACCAGCCTCTTCGAATTAATGAATAAAGTATATCCAACCTTATTAATATCACTATAAAGTTCAAAACTCCTTGTCTTTTCTAGTCAAAAGCATCTCACTGATGCGTCATTGTAAAATGAGCTTTGTTTCTTGAAGGTTTAAGTTGAAATTACTGTACACAAGTACAAGTCGTAAGCTTCAATCAGTGCTGCAACGATGAACAAAAACAACATCATTGGAAAATGAGCTCTGTTCAATTCAGATTAAAGTTGAAATTCCTTCGGCAACATTGTTAAACTATTCTTCGTCATAATGAAAAGAGCTCTATTACTTTCAAATTAAAGTTGAAAAATCCATACCTTTGTTCAATAAAACTTGTCTTCTTCGATATCTAAGTTGTTTTTGTTGTTTGGTTGGTTTGAATGTCTTCGTAAAGTGCCGAGGGAATCGTACTCGTTCGCGATGGCTTTCGGGTATAGTTTGGGAGTCGTAGCCGCTGTGTTGTGGTTGTTCGCGTTTGATATGTTGTTGCTTTTCGATAAAAGGAGACCGCTAGTACTGCCGATGCCCGTGAAAGATGGTTGGCGTTTCGCTTTTCGCGGCTGTGAATGAGAGTATGATGTTAGAAATTTAATCTTATTCAGAGTAAAAATAATGCTAATTATTTAGCCAATGGGTTAATCCCTGAAAGCCTCGACATTCATCTTAGGAGACTGACGTTAGGCGGAAAGATCAACGGCCTGATACAAAAGGCAGTTCTCCTAAAAACGGCACGTATCGTGAGGACATTTCTGTCTCTTGCCGTGGTCTCTTGAGCCCTAACCACCAGTAGCTCGGACCATGCTCCCACTACCGGTCGGCTTCTTTTTTTAATATTTTTAATATTACTTTTTTGTTTTTGTTACGTAGTAATTAAAAATGAATTTTATAGAGGATTTTAAATAAATATATGAAAATGGATGAAACAAAAATAAAATATGTAAATAAGCAACTTACAACTTCTTTGAGCGGCACAGTGACGTAGCTATTCTGTTTGGCAGTGATATAGTGCGGGCTGGACGGCACGCGGTGTTGCTTGTTCCACGGCATCCTGGTCCCGCGCCGCTGGCAGAATATTACACCCGCCAGGCAGACTAGACAACCTGTAGTTTAAAAAAATATATTACTTGTTATTACCGCTTACCCGCTCTGCTCATCTCCTATTAATCGCAGCGTGATGTTTTATAGTCTATAATAGCCTTCCTCGATAAATGCACTATCCTATACAAAAATATTTTTTCAAATCGGGGCAGTAGTACCGCATCTACATTTCTTTTTGATAAAGGTACTTATCAAAAAAAACTTATCATGTTCCAACAACGGTAATTATTAAAAAAATAAAAATTAAAATACGAAAATAAATATCAAAAAGAATTAAAAAAAAATGTGGTCAAGTTGTGCCTTAACCAATTTTGTGTGTTCCATCCTTGTCAAGGGGAGTGCTAACCGTCTCTCCTTTCAATAGACACGACAAAATTCGTCGAAATTATACCAGTGTACTAACTTCGATGAAAACTTAACTAACGCGATCTAGAACTTTTAATTAAAAAACCTTCAAAGCCATAAAAAACTACCAAACATATCTTTAAAAACTGTAGACAATACTCTAATCTACTCATATTTAATAACAAATAAACAAAAATTATAAAAGAAAACCATAAAAAATCAAAATATAACATTGAATCGCAACACATTTTAGTACAGCGCCATCTATGATCACGCGGTGGAACTGCGTAGTAAATTAAAACTCACCCATGGCAAAGGCTCCAACGACGCAGCCTATAATACTGCCAATGCTGAGAGTCTCATTGTTGCCCATAGTGACGAATGAGGCCATCTCTACGTTTTGGCTGTAAGCTGGCATCGCGTATAGTTCTGTTGAAAATGTTCTTTTGTTAGGAGACTGTATGTACATTTTTGATGGAAAACATATTTACGTAAATATGTAGTTTTGATCTAACATAAATACAATACTTAGGGAAAAGAGACAAAAAAAACTAAGGTGAATTCATATCATATTAAAATTCTAAGATGTTCTACAGTCTTATACGCAATATTATGTAGGCAACAGCAACAGCATACTTTCCCAGTGACTGTATACATATATTTTTCCAGTGGCAGTACACCTTATTTTCAATCTTAATTATAACGAATGGACAGACATTCAATATAAAACCAACCAGCATACAAGTCGTATTGATATCTAATTTGTTTTCTTATAAACACACCATTTACAACTACCAATTTCTTACTCAAAAATGACATACCATTGTCAATATCCTGGTTATCATCAGAGCACCTGGCAACCTGGAGCTGTGCCCCTAGACATGCCCCGGCCAGACATGCTCGCTTCCTGATCCGCTCCCCGCCTGTACAGTCTTCCCAAGGTCCCCATTCACCCCAGCCCGCTTCTGAGCCTAAAGGAATAATAACATGTTAGTGTTTTTAAAAGTTTTTCTAGAGATTTAATATAGAGCTTCGGACAATACTCCGTATCTCAGTCATACGAATCTATACAACAGTCATTACGATTAAGTTTAACCAAGAATACAGTGGCTTCCTTAGCCATTTTAAGCCATGTAAAATCGAAACAGTTTTGTATGGTAATTAGCAAATAGGATTAGTACAATTTCCAACATGGCTCAGAAAGTCTAAAGGCCTGTTTCACAATATCTGGATAACTGTTGTCTACCAAATAGATTTGGATTAATAACGTAATTTGTATGAACTATTTGTCACATAAGTTTATCAGGTACTTATATATAGAAGTGGTGAAACCGGCGCTTAGTCTTGGGATCTTAGGCTATCAATCCATAGTTATATTATAAATGCGAAAGTTTATGAGCATGTGTGTTTTTTACTCTTTCACTAAAAAGTTAGTACAGAGATTATATTTTAGTCTGATAACACTTGAGGTGAAAGTATTTTTTTTTTACACGTTGCCCCACACTAGGATTTTCTCCTGTGTCGTGGGTGCGTTTACAAACATACAAGTTCACATACACAAGTTAAAGATCACTGGAAGAAACTATACTAGTTTAACAATCCTTACAAATATTATAAATCGGAACACTTTCCGATTTATAATATTTGTAAGTACAAACTCACTAGTTTGTTTGTTTGTTTGTTCCGCTTTCACGCCATAACTACTAAACCGATTGCTTTGAATTTTTGCAGATGTATAGTTAGAAGTCCGGATTAAATAATAGGGTACTTTTTATCCCGGAAAAATTTGATATTCCCGAGGGAAAACAAAAGTATTGGTATAGATGGCGCTGTGTGTTTTTTTATATGTCACATTGGCTTTTTATCCTTTTGTGACGCGAGCGAAGCCGCGGGTAAAAGCTAGTATGTTCATAAAATGTTAGTATACCTGCACAATTCTTAACACAGACGCGTCGCTCCAGCGCGGCCCACTCGTCCCCGTCGCCGGCGCAGCCCTCGGGCGACAGACACGTGCGCGCGCGCGTGCGGTGGCCCGCCGCGCTGCTGGCCGCCGCCGGGCAATCGCCGCGACACTCGCTCCACTCGCTCCAACATGACCACTCTCCTGGTAAACATGGGGTGGGATTAGCACTGGGACCGAGACATATTCATTTGAAAATAAGACTATTTTCCTGTGTCGTAAGTGTGTTTACAAACAAACGTACATCAGGCCCAGATCTGAAAAAAGTATTATTTTTTGAGCTACGGTTTTCTTAATATTCCTGAAAACAACATGGAATTCGGAATTATGCCGAGAATATAGCAATAGATTTGTCCTTAACAGAACTGGTGAAAATTGTGTCTTATATTGTACATGATGTATACTTACCCTTTGGGTTTAAAAATTAAATAATATGAAGTATCGTTATGCTATTTGTCATGTTCCAAAACTTCTACTCATTCTTATCAATAAGTAAACTTACCAGTACAAGCCAGCTTATTACAAGCCTGCAGCATCTCACTAGGTCCGTGACACTGTCCATGTTTGAGACACCTCCTAGTCCTCCTCTGATGCCCTCCTCCGCAAGAGACGGAGCATGCCTCCCAGGCCCCCCAGGCCTCCCAGCCGACCTCATTGTCAGATATAGGCTCACTACTACAGCGGCCGCGGGAGTTACAGTAGCGTTCGTCTTCGCGGACCATTGAGAGCTGGTGGATAGAAAATAGGATTTTACATAATAAGGTTTATAATTGAACACAGTTAACAGTAATTTTGAGTACAACAGTCGTTTACGAAATAGTAGTATTTTATTGAAATATGGTTTAAACTGGTTTAAACAGTGGCGTAACTACAGGGTAACAAGTTAGCAAAATGCCACGGGTCCCCAGCTGGAAAGCGACTCCGTTCAGAGGTTATCATCTAAACTAAATTTTTAATATTTGTTAGGCCTCCACTTCGATGACATTGCCACAGGCTTCATCGGTATAATTACGCCACTAAGTTTAAATACAAGCTGCTAAGAAATTTATGCATACCTTCAGTTGCTCAGGAGATGGAGCTCTGCATTGGAACTTAAATCTCTTTTCAGTGTAACTTCCATCTGATCCGTTGCCTGTTGATTGACAAAGTAACATTATGAGTTTTGATCATTCCAATATTTGTTTAAATCATAAAGAAGCTGGCAAAACGCCTTCGAAATTATTTAGCTTTTATGTGCTATCTTCAAAAAATATTTAATATGTTAATGAATCAGAAATACCTGATGCAAATAAGTCCCTATTTTCACTGTTTTAGCAAAAACATAATTATTATAAGACTGCGTTTGCGTACTTACCAGGTATCTGGACCCAAGGTGACCATGCAGTGGCCTTCCTGACCTCACAGGGTGCCATATCACAGGCCTGTCTCTCAGTAGTCAGTCCCTCACAGTCGGATCCTCCATTTTTAGGTGTGGGGTTGTTACACTCCCTGTGTCTTTCCTTCCACCCTCCAGAGGGACCACATCCAGGACCACCCGATGCTGTACAAGTAGACCAAGGACCCCAGTCTGACCAGCCACCGTCTACGGCTGCGAGATTTGGGTCTGAAAGTATAAATAAGAATGTCCAAAACACATAAATTGGTATCGTTCTTAAGTGCCTGTAATAGCATATTGAATTCAGTTAAATCTTAGACTTAGTGCTGAACAGTTTAAAAAACCATATTGAGTACTTTTTATGATAAAAAACAGATTATGTTCGTCAAACCTCAACAAGTCTTTATTTTTTAATAGGTAGCAACTACCCTTTCAAACTAAAATCTTCTAAAACATAACCAAAACACTGTTCTTTAATTATAATCAATCGATTTTAAACTCAATACTAACCGGGGCAGGGTGGCAGATTGCAGTAGACATCATCAATATCGAGTCCGACACAGACTCTGCCTCCAAACTTAGGTTCTGGCGACGTACACGTGCGGCGCCGCGACTTGATGGCGATGCCACACGACGCCGAGCACTTCGACCAACCCGACCAACTCGACCACCCGCCGTGGACGGTGCAGTTGGTCACTGATATACTGGCGCCTGGGGGTAAAATTAAGGTTATTTTTAGTGTCATCAACAGCCTACAAGTGTCCACTACTGAGCAAAAGCCTTTATTTACTAGTCATAACGGTTGATAAGTAACAATTATCAACATGGTTACTCAAGGCGGATTGGCGATTTCAAACTTTATTATATTTTATTAGAAATAATAGAAATCCAGGTTTCCTTACGATGTTTTCTTTCACCATAATATGTCAATAGTGTCTAAATATACTTAGTCTAAATATCCAACTATTGTTTAATTAAAGAGACAAACGTTAAGTACATTTAAAATGTATCAATGTTTAACAAAATGTTAATAGTAAGTCTTATGTGATATTACTTTTTTTATGGTATAAGCCGGTATACGGATCGCCTGATGGTAAACAATCATCGCCGCCCATAGACACCTCAAACACCAAGGCGTTTCAAGTGCGTTACCGGCCTTTTGGAAATTGGGAGTTTGAGGGTTGTGGAGGATTCGGTAATTGGGGAGGGGGGAGGGGGGTGTAATTGAGCCTCCGGTAACCTCACTCACACGACGAAACACAAAGTAATCGTTGTTTCACATCGGTATTCTGCGAGGCCGTGTTATCACTCCGGTGGAGCCGGCTCATGCGTGCCGAAGCTTGACACTTCGAGACTTAAAGAGGAAAAGTCTTTACAATAAGTATAAATTAAATCATACATACCATCACAGGCTTGTCCGCCATAAGCCGGTCTAGGGTTGTCACAGCGCCGGGTCCGACAGTGGCACATGTCTGGCTTGTTGTCGTCGTACAGCGACTGCGACGTGCCGTCCTGCATGCACGGCTCCCACTCCGACCAGCTCGACCAACCACCGTCCACTGACGAAATTGGAAATGGTGAGTCAAATTGCAATTTTAACTATACTTACGTACAAAGCCTAGTCACATTGACCAAAATATAGAACTAACCATGGAATGACAGAGGGTAACTTATTTGGTTTGTTAAATATATACGATATTTCACGACAATTTTGGTATATCGAATATTATTATTTCATAAAAGTTTTCGATTTTATCAATTACTGTTGGTGGTAAAGTGGCGACAAACACTGGCAAAACTTTTTCAAGTTAGAGTATCACGAATTTAGAAATGATAAAGTAGGACTTTACTCCAGTAACACATAAATATCATCACGCTGTCTCTGATTGGCGTAAGTAAAGACCTTAGAACGCAACACGATTCTAACATTCATTTTTCACTTTATCAATCTTTTCATACATGCTTTAGACGCTAATAATATAAAAAATATTTCAAACGAACCTGGAGCATCTATAGCTGGACAAGCGCTAGTATCCTGTTTGAAGGCAGGGTCCCCAATCCTCCCTGCGGCCGCGACGCAGAGCTCGCGCGCGTCGTCCCAGCCGCAGTGCGGGTCCCCGGCCAGCACACAGCCTGACCTACTCGCGTAGCGGGTGCAACGTGCCCCTGAGATGCGGTATATACCTGATCTACCGCCTATGTAGATTGACATCTGGAAGAAAAGTATAGATGGATATTATAACCCAAAATACATTTTCGTGAACTTGTACGGTAACCAAAGACCTATCTTAAGTTGCAATTATGCTATTAACTCGTCGAGTACCGGTTTTATAGACACAATTAAAGAACAATAGGTCGCGGTCACCGGTGACCGCTTGGTGTTTGACAGTTTAATTAGCTACAAGTATAACATACTAGGAGTCTATATTAAATAAATTGCCTACGACGCCCTCTACCGACTTATGTATTAAAAGGAAATAGTCTAAATGTTTAATGCAGAAATTAGTAGACAGAAACCTCATTTCATATATGAAACTTAACAAACTGATATCTTTCAACGTCCTTGCTGATATCATAACAAAAATCTACTCACAGTATCCTTAACAAACTGCATGGTGAGAACCTCAAAGCTATGATTCTTGCTATTAAGGTTCCATCTCTCAACCAAACACGCGCCATCCAGCTTCGGCAATACTGACAACTTCAGCACGTTAGACTCCTGAGTCGCGACGTAGAGTACCAATTGCTTTTCAATATTCTTTGCACTCGTGACGTCAACGGTGAGATGGGTGAATCTTTCTGACGTTAGCTTGAAGATTGGTTCTCCTGATACTGGTTGGACTGCTTCATACATTAGGTGGTAGCGATGGTATTCTATGGCTTCGTTTATTCTGTAATAGATTAGGAATTTTTAGTTGCTTGAAAGATTAGAGGTAACGTTATTTTTCAGTAGATTGTTTGCTTCTGAGATATTCGCGTTTTTGATGCTAAAGGAGAAGTGAGTAGCGATTTTAATTTAACTTTAAATGCAAATAAAAATTGTCGGTCACAGTAAAGTTAAAATAATCATATTTTTGGCTTTGGTATCGATTGTAGATCACGCTCAAGCATTATTTAAAAAAATATTCGACAGTTTTCACTCTGCTACGATTTTATTTAAGTATTATGTATCTGTAACGCTTCTACGAATATGGAATCGTTAATAGTTGTTATTTTCCAATGTTTACTTTTGTAACATTTCCTAATATGCTCTCGCGCGCCTCCCGTACACACAGGTAAACGCGCGTTCTCGTACACACGGGTAAATATTTTAATAGACAAGCGAAACAACTATTCTGTTCAATCAAATAAAGAACGGGTCGCAAACTTGAAAATAAATATACGTCGCAGAAAAAATATCCAATCGGTGCGCGTTTCTCGTACACCCGTGTGTACAATTGCGCAAGGGGCACTGAACTCTCTCGTACACCCGTGTGTACGAGAAACACGCGAGAGGATATATTACTTTCAGTACAATAAAATCACACTTATTCAAAGTAATAACTTCTTACCTAGAATCCGGCACACATTTGAAATGGTCTCTAGCCTGTTTAGAAGGTGACCGTGGTTCCCATGTTGAAGTGGGTCTGTCCTGTACCTTGTACGGACCTTCGAACGCCGCGGTGATGTCCGACATGTTGTACACACATACTGCACTGCCGACTATACTGTTCCTGTAAACGAAAATATTTTGTTTATAATGATATTGAACATTGGGTTTACCACTAAAGTCAAGCCAAAAGGAATATAATAGTGTGTCTATTTATGCGTAAACATCTAAAATCAGAGGTCAAACTAGTTAGCTGTAGGAATCAAAGAAATATCGTCTTTAAAATACAGATACCATGAAAGGGTCAGATTCATCTGGGATAAGCTTGCAGCACATTTCAAAGTAAGAAATCTGAAGCAGCAATCAGCGAAAGGACCGAAATTGTGAAATCTGATGCATTTTATGATTCAGCAATCCACTTTATTATTACAGATAAAAATCGAGAAGATATTAATTAATGTTTATTGCCGTCGAGACGCACAATAACTATTTAAACAACACAACCGCTAACTCAGGTCAGTAATAAACAAAGTAAAATAATCTTACGTAGGTGTAGTGAACGTAGCAACAAGTATCTTCTCCTGCGGCAAGTACTCCACACTCTGCACCTCATCATAGTTGAAGGGAACGTCTCCAGGCACTGAGCACTTCAGCCGAGCCTTGAGGAACGTGCTCCAACTGTCCTTCATCACCAAGTAGCCACCTGGATCGTTCTTACACACTCTGGCGATGCGCGAGTAGATTATCTGGAAGAGAAAATTGATTTTTATATCCCAGCCTTAACAGTCTATATATTGGACATTATTGACATAATCTGAACAAAATAATCGCCGCTTGTCCCTAACTTATCAGGGTTTAACCAATGTCTGTTATACATTAAACTGTCAAACACGGCGAGGACACCGGTGACCACAACCTATTGTTCTTTAATTGTGTCTATAATGACGGTACTCAAAGGTTAATACCCTTAGGCGTTAAATATGCGTTAAGTATGTTCTAGAACACTACCGTTTCCAACCCTAGAAAACTACTATTTTGTGTTTCTTAAGTCTCTAGAGTCACCTAGAATTTAATCTTTAATCTCGTGGATTCTCAGTGAATTATTTTTCTATACAATATCGTTACGATCATTCCTTGATTGATAATTCATCATTACATCAAGATCATTAATTATTACATCAAGATCATTAATTATCACATCAATATTAATATGAGTCAATTACTTATCACATAAAAAATACTACATGACATGATCACACAGTCCATCAGTACACCTGACCCAGTTTTTCAAAAACAATAAAATTGATATAGATCATATAAATAGGGAGACAATTGGCAAATTGGCAGTGGCGACATAATGAGGGTCATAACCTCTTCCGGAGTGACGAGATACTGTTTCTATCATGCGAGGGACTAGGAGGGACCCTAACGTACCTTCATATGGTAGGTACAGGGTACAGGCACCATAGTGATGGGTTTTATTATTATAATAAATCAGGTAAAAATGTGAACGTCTGCCTACTATTTAAGATATTACTAAAACACGTGACGTTTTGATATGAGAAATCTGAAATGATTTAAGTTAGATGCACATAACATAAGTGGAATGCTTTGCTTATATTACGCCGAGAAAATTACCTAAACTTTTTAATTGTAATTGTAATTTAAAGTGTCAAAATAATCTAATAGACTAATTTGTCATGAGATTCTGCAGGTAACCTTTAAGTCTAACAGTCGATTCCCATTATATATATAAAATATCAGAAAACTTTGTTAAGTACCACGATAGGAGTCACACAATCCATTACCCAATTCCTTTAAATAACGAGTTCACTTATAAATCGCTCAATCAAACCAAATGAACTACAAACCAATAAAACTTTATAGTGTACTGTTGACACTTGTAACAGACTTTCTTTAAACCCAGAAGGCCTAGTCTGATTTTTTTTACGTTAAAAACGATTCCATGGAGCATTCGATGGAGAGGGCTATGCTCGGAGTCTCTTTGAAGGATCGAATCCGAAATGAAGTGATCCGACAGAGAACCAAAGTTATCGACATAGCCCAAAGGATCAGTAAGCTGAAGTGGCAGTGGGCCGGTTACATTTGTCGAAGAACCGATAACCGTTGGGGTAACCCTGTTCTAGAGTGGAGACCGCGTCTAGGCAAACGGAGTGTAGGGCGCCCTCCAGCTAGGTGGAGTGACGACATCTGCAAGGTGGCTGGCAGTGGTTGGATGAGAAGAGCTGAAGACCGAGCTCAGTGGCGTGTTATAGGAGAGGCCTATGTCCAGCAGTGGACGAATACAGGCTGATGGTGATGATGATGATAAAACGATTCAAATGTTACCGCGTTCGGCGCTCTCTTTGTTTTATTAAATGAATAGGCCAATCAGAGGGCCGAACGTCATAAACAAACACGCGCTAGGCCCTCTGCATTAACCCAGTAAAACAAGGGACTTCAAACAGTCGTTACTGAGACAATAAATATATAAACACTGGGAGATCAATGACTGGTGTTTCGAAAGAGCATGTTGTCAACGGCCAATCAAACGGATGGATTGGGCAATAGGATCTGTACTTCTGAAGTACCTATATGGGAATAAATTAGTAGGTTTTTGTTTTCGATTGTTTTCATTAGATTATTAGGTACATCTATTGTGTCAATAGTTGAATAGTAGGTAAGGTAGGGTGAATGGGCCGGCTCAACCGTAATGATACCACAGCCTCACAGATAACTGACGTGAAACAACGCTTGCGTTGTGTTTCGTCATGTGAATGAGGTTACCGGAAGCCCAATTACACTCTTCCCCAATCTCCCCACTCCCTGAAGCTCCAGCAATCCTCAAATTCCTAATCCCGAAAAGGCCGGTTACGCACTGGTGTTCCAAGTGTCCGTGGACGCCGCCGATTATAATCAGGCGATCAGACGCATCGCCCATCGATCGATTATCCCATAAGAAAGTGCAAACTCATCCGTTATGAATTTGCTAAAGTTAGTATTTCTTACTTTAGAAAACGTAGGCCTGCCGAGAGAGTCTGAAGTCTTTTAAACATGCTCTGTGTTAAAAACCATGATTTTATTCGTTGCGTAAGTTTTTCTGAAGTAAACACATGGGGACTAGCTACAAACTGACGGAGACATCTGGTCATCATTAAATTACGTTCTTGTAAACAAATTCACACATAAAATCTGTAAGAACAAACTAACTGTTACACTTTCACAAAGAAACTCCAGCTTTACACTATCTCAATCTTTTAAGCTCATTTGCTGATATACATTTTTCCCCCCTTTTATACTACAATCTGTCGCCTTCTTTGGGACATTCAGCAGTACGCTGGACGTTACTGTAGTTAGCGTTTTCGGCATGTGACCTGTGTCACATCCTCTTCATAAATACAGTTTATTTAATGTGGTTTGATCACCTCTTGTGGCATTCTACGATTTATAATTCGCTACATACACTTATAAAAAAATGGATTAGAAGTTTATTTTTGAATTGCCTAGGAGTTAAATGAGTACAGAGATCACCCCATTCTTATTCTTAGCAATCAGCTCCATCTATAGACATCCGATACACCAACGACGTTACAAATCCATTGATTACTTTACAAAATCACTCTTTTGTGAACATTTCGATTATATCTCGTTAATTTCTCTACAACAGGTAGTATAGACGCCTCATCATCAACAGCCTATAAATGCCCACTGCTGAACAAAGCCTCTTCTCACACGGAGAAGGTTTGAGCATTAATCACAGTACATTAGTATAGACGCCTACCTTTCCACAATTCATGAACTCCACAGCGACTTCTCTGAACACGAAGTACACGAACTGGTCGTCTTCGAAGCTGCCCACGAACTGTGGCTCGTTCAGCCAGTTCAGGTCGTACTGGGTGGTGCGCAGCATGCCCAAGTCGTGGCTGGCTGCTCCCTGGCTCCTGCAGGGTGATAACAGTGGTTAATATTGTAAGTTTTAAAAACAAAGTCTATTCAATTAGATTAAAAATGACTTTTGATAGAAAAAAAAACAAAATGCCTCGTTGGCTGAGTGCGAAATGCGAGTGCCGGGCAAGGGGTCTCGGGTCCGATTCCCAGGTCGGACAGAGCATTAATGGGTTTTTAATAAAAAAAATCACAATAGTAGCACGGAATCTGGAATTGTGCCCGGTATATGACAATATGCTCACATATTACATAGGACACATCACATAAATCGGGAAAAGTGGGTGTTACATTGTAGTGGCATTAAGTGCCGTAATGTGCACCTCAGCCTACCGCTTCGGGGATAAAACGGCGTGATGTTATGTTATGTAAAGAGAAACATGTTGTTCTTGTACATGTGTTGGTCTTGTAGTAAACCTCTTGTATTTTGTTATGCATCAAAACAGATCCATTGCACATCCATCCGTTCGAAACTTGTAAATAAGTATTTCGTCTGAACTCCGGTGTGTTACTGAACTGCTGAACAGATTCAGACATAATTAATTGTTTAAATTAAGAAATATTCAGCAATTATGTTATGATTACAAGGTGATTTATGCTTTAATATAAAATTAATTTACATTCTATTTTAAAGAACATGATTGAAACGTTTACATTCAAACGAATTGACCTACTAAAATACAAACGTAATAAACCAATCAAAAATGAAATCTTAATTTAATATCTAACACTATAATGAAGTAAAGGTGGAGTTAATCTAATCAAACCTACTTGGATTGCGAGAACAGATAATAAATATTGACACGACCGATACAAGGACGAGAATCGATATAAAGCAATAAATCGCTGACCCGTAATCGATATCAAATTGGAACGGTGCACCGTGTCACTAGTATCTATGTACCATTTGTTTATTAGTAGCTAGAAATATGGTTTTGTATGAGTTTTGTAATATTTGTATAAATAATTGAAAATAGTATTCATACGCAATTTAAGAGATTTTAACACAAAACATTAGGTATAGCCTTACTAATATTATAAATCGGAAAGTGAGTTTGTTTGTTTATTCCGCTTTTACGCCGTAACTACTTAACCGATTGCTTTAAATTTTTGTAGACGTAAAGTTATAAGTCCGGATTAAATAATAGGGTACTTTTAATCCCGGAAAAATTTGATATTCTAGAGGGAAAACGAAATTATTGGTATAGATGGCGCTGTGAGTATTGGTATATGTCCAAAGGCTACTTTTTATCAAGAGTTCAAGAGGTTTTAGCACGTACATTCATATTATAGGTGCTTGTGCAATGTATGCCCTGATAACCCGGAGGTTTAAGACGTCCCCTTCTCATGCAGGAGGGTGCGGATTCGAAACCTACCAACGGCAAGTATCAATGTGACTGTTCCTAGTTATATGTACTTTTTAAGATTATTTAGACGCCACCGATCAACGGTGGAGTAAGACATCGTGAGGATACCTGGACTTATAATTTTTAATTATTAGTTTGAAATGGCCAACCCTCTCGAACCTTCTCTATGTGAGAAGAGGCCTTTGGTCAGTAGTGGCTACTTATAGGCTGTTGATTTGATGTGATGTGTAATGTGTAGGAACGAACCATAAATACATAATTATAGAAGTTAACACTCCAAACTGATATTCTTTTACAACTAGCACCAGCTTAATATTTTCTATTGTTATCGTAAAGTATATTCTATCTCCTCTCAATTAAGTTTATATTCACCTTCAAAGCAAGTACTAGTACAGAGTTATTTTAAAATAATCTCTATCTACTCCTCATAAAGTCTTCATTTACCTGCATATAGCGGTGTCAGAACTAGCGAAGTCGGTGGGGGTTCCAGCATAGTACTCCCCGTTGGAAGCCAGTATCGCAGTCACATTAGAATGAGGGTTGTAAGGGCAGCTCGCTACTCCAGTCGCCCATTCCGTCACTGTTTTTATTGACTCGATCTGTTGAAGAAGAGACATCATTAGTGTTGTTTATTGATAGCACGGTTGATGCGGTGGATGGGCAACCAGCTGCCGTGGACCGTGTCGCGGGTTCGGAGTAACTCGATCCACAAATTGTTGTGTCGGGTCTGGGTGTCATGTGCATGTGAAATTGTATGTTATTAAAGAAAGAAAGAAAAACCATTTATTTTGCTACGACACACAACAAGAATTTAGAAACACAAAAAAAGCCTATGGTGCGTCGCAGCGCAAACACGTTTTTAAAAATAATACAAAACAATAGTGAGTTGAATTTAGAAGGCCTAGTATAACGTTAACGTGATCGACAAGTTTATGACGTTCAGTCTTCTGATTGGTCTGTTCCAATTACCCAACCAGGACTAAACGCGGTGACGTTTCGATGGTGTTAACTTTAAACGTACTCTCACTAAGAATTTAGGTATTATTTGATGAAAAAAGGAAGATAATCAAAGAAAAAATGTGACATCAGACTTGAGTATTCAAGAATGGAATTGAGATGATGATAGGGTATGAAAATTAAAAATATAATTAGTCCGTAAGTTTAAGATAATGAAAAAATATTAGACACGTATTTTATTATTTTGTCTTATAATAAACCAATACTAAGATAAAACGAATCAAAGTTTAGGAGTGGGGGCTAAAACGTCATTTCTACGTATAAAATGTACATAGAAGTGACGTCACGCGACACTTCAAATCAATATATCGTCGAAAGTATTCGTTTCTGTCAGAAAATAAAAATACGTGTCTAATGATTTGAAATAATCTACCAGACGGACATTAAAATGAAAATTAGACATTTACCCTATCGTCCGTTTTGATTTTGCAATGATAATTCTTGAGTGACATCAAAATTTTCACTGTAAAATCAAAGCCGCTAGCTTCACTGACAAACATACGGACGGACAATTCAATTTTTGACGCTTCAAAAGTGCCTAATTAAGGATTAATTGAAATAAATGCTTTGACTTTGACTTTATATACGAAATAAAAAATATCATGTGATTTAACCTGAGTATTCCGACTACTACAAAATTCCCACGATAATTAATCACAATAGAATTACATGTACATTGTACATGACCAACACACGTGTAACCAACAATAGGTGTAGTGTAACATAATTTGAGTAACATCACTAAACTGTTAACAAATCCTTACAAAATACAACAAAACAGATAACAGTTTGGTCCAACTCAGTTAGCGCGTTGTCCAAAAAAAAATAAGAATAAAAAAACACTTACATTAACACAACACCAAGCCTTTCATCCCCGAAGGGGAAGGCAGATGTGCACTTTATGGCAGTTAATGGGGCATTCCACTTTGCGCACCTAAATGAAGCGCACCCAGACGAAGCGCACCTAAAGTATTCCACTTTGCGCACCTGTAGGTGCGCTTAAAATAAAAATTTTAAATAAATAGTTTTTCTATTCCACGAAGCGCACCTACGAATATCACTCGCATAGTGCGGAGACTAAGAAATAAAAATATCGATATAAGAACATATTTATTATTTAAAAGACTAACTTAAATACCTAACATCATTCAGTTTCATTATAATAATGTGACACAATATTGATATTTGTCCATGTTTTTATTGTAATTATGAAACAATCTGTGATTTTTTATGTTAAAGTAGAGTATTTTTATTGTTCACTAAACATGTAGCTATAAGAAAACTTCAACAGATCTTTATGTAAAACCATATTTACAATGTTTTTCATATTTGTCCATGTTTTTATTGTAATTATGAAACAATCTGTGATTTTTAATAGTAAGATTACAAAATCAAAATGACAAAATATTGTGTCACATTATTATAATGAAACTGACAGATGTTAGATATTTAAGTTAGTCTTTTAAATAATAAATATTTTCTTATATCGATATTTTTATTTCTTAGTCTCCGCACTATGCGAGTGATATTCGTAGGTGCGCTTCGTGGAATAGAAAAACTATTTATTTAAAATTTTTATTTTAAGCGCACCTACAGGTGCGCAAAGTGGAATAGTTTAGGTGCGCTTCGTCTGGGTGCGCTTCATTTAGGTGCGCAAAGTGGAATGCCCCCAGTTAATGCCACTGTGCCTATAATGTAACAACTACTTTTCACTATTTATGTTTTGAGTCCCATGTAATAGGACTATTACATGGGTCATATACCGGGCACATTTCCAGATTTCGTGCTACTACTGAGATTTTGTTTTAAACCCAGTACTACTTTGGCCGACCCGGGAATCGAACCGAGACCTCTTGCCCGGCGCCAGCAGCACTTGCGACTGCGACTACTCGACCAACGAGGCAGTCAAATTGACTCGTCAAAACCAATTTTCCAAATCAAATCTCCTCGTTCAATTATTCCAAAAAGGTTTCGAGATATACAAACTTCGCTTCGCATTAACATCGAAAGTGTTGTATAAACATCTTTTGTATGTCCACATACAAATTCGATTTCAATATTCAAATATTCTTAGCATACAAACTATACGGCAGCAAGCCTTACAAAAACAAACACAATTTTAGCGCAATGGCTTAACATTTAACTCCTAAAATACCGGTTACCAGTTGGACAAAGTAAAATAGATATCTGTTTTAAATATTAATTCGAATAGACGTGGTTTAGGGCTCGTACACAACTCTACGAAGCGAGGCGATGTGAATTCGCAACGCAGAAAGTACGTCACGAATTGCTGCGATGCGATTTCGTGCGACAAAGCGTCTCCCAGGGTGACCATTTCTTCGACGACCGTCAACCGTACTAAACGTATTTTTAATTGATAACTACATAGGTCGTGACATGGATTGTCAAAATAAGTGTACACTTTTGTTATTGCTTAGAAGATAAAGGAATAAGAAACAAAGAAGATTTTGATGCGCGATATCAATCAATTCGCAAGTTCTACAGGGAGCTCGCACATTTTCGCATCGCAGTTTTGTGTACAAGCCCTTAGAGAATCTGAGTGTTTTATGCGATTTTGTCTCAAGTTAACGCGATCGACACGTTTATGACGTTTGACACTCTCATTGGCTGCTCCGAGTTAACCAACCAATCGGAGGGCTGAACGCGGTAACGTTTTAATGCTGTGCTGAACTGATTCTGAGCTTCAACATATTTTAGTATTTGTATCAGCAGATCAGAGGACTTGTGTCCAAAGTATATAAACTGACACTACATAAAAATGACAAAAGCCATCTTTTGAATTTTAATTAATTTAAACTTTGACATTAGGTAACTAGCTGTCTGTATGCATTTTAATCGAAACTGGTTAAAAGGTCAGTATTAGGAAGCCTTTGCTGCAAGCTATTGCGATTTTCCAATTATAAACTTTATTTCTTTACTATTAAGTTCTATGTTACTCAAGAAGTTTGACATACCTCTCGCCAGCTGCAGACAGGACTAAACGCGTGTGTTCCACAAGCGAACAGCTTATGACCATGCAGCAGGAGGACCTTGATGTAATTGTGGCAGTCTTCCTCAGTTTGTCCCTTCATCTGACACAGCTTTATCTTACTGGAGGGAGCCAGCCAGTCAGCTCGTTCCAGCACTCCAAGGCCTCGAAGAGATAATCGGTAGAGAGCATCCCTGGGAAAAAGAAAAATAGTTGCATTAACCTTCAATTCACTAGTGTAGACAAGAAGAAAGTATTAGTTTCTGCAAACTGTTTGATGTTAATATTGCAATAATGAAAGTATATTGGCCTACAATTAATGTGTATTTATAAAATACTCTGAAAACTAGGAAGTTGTTAAGTGATCGGAAGTTTTTAACTGGTGACTTTGACATAGAAAACAGACTATGTATCCGACGGATGCCGGAAAACTATAGTGTGTTTAAATTAAATTATTCAGATATTCTCTGTTTGAGTAGGGAGTTTGAATTTTTGCTTTATTTTTCTATCGATATTGAACAACTATATGAGACTAATATCGTAACTACTGACAGCAAGTATGAACTACTGAATATTTTCGTTACAATACGGCGTGTTATGCCAGCCAGTTATCCAACAATCATTAATCCCACAATAGAGATTAACTGTAAAGATCAAATGTGCAAAGTACAAGCTTGACAACCATAGATACAACACAATGCAAATATTAATCTCATAAATCCAATTATGATGACAATCATACATATAGCAACGTGCGTACGATGTATCCTTGAAATATTTTAAAGGGCAATAAATTATAATAATCTGTATAGTAATACCAATACAGTTATCTAAAAAAACGACATTGAATTTTTTATCTGAACACCACGTAGACTGCACGGCGTCGTTTCGTTTCTAAAGTCAGTGCTTATCCGCCATATTGCATTTTCGCTAGCATTAAAAAAATCCGTAATCCAATCACCTAGATCCAATTATAATTATCTAGGAAATATAAATCGTTACACAAGCGGTAGTTGGAATAAATCGGAACACATGTATGTAACCGTATATCGAGTCGATTGCCGCGGGATCAAATATCAATGGTACGCCGTTGTAATCGATAGCGTTACCGATAGGAACGGTATCGATATTATTTATGTATCGAGTACGGTCATGTATCGGACTGGTTTGAGAGCGATTTCGTAATTAGACAATCAGGTGAATAATTTTATGTTTGTTTGTTTTCATTGGACGAATAATGATGTTTAATTAATTATATTACGTGACTTTGACATGAAGGTTTAATTTTGATCATTTTATTTATTAAGAAGTGACTAACCTTTTTCCATAAAGTTCTTTTAATATTTTTGTTGTTACGAGTCTCTAAAGACCCTAGAACATAAAAAGTTGCATCTGCTAATTACAGAGACCATGCCAGACATCAACAAAAATAAATTAGAACTGCACCATTAAAGCTTGTATACACAATAAACTTCACACATTTCGGTACTACGGGTAGACGCGTGCCTTGATCCGTGTTTGTGAGGCATATGAACAAACAAATGGGTTTAATAGCTCAGCCAAATGTTCACGGCATATATTGACATACTATGTGGCAAACACTAGTACTTGCTTCGGCAGTACATATACTAAAATTGGAACGATACAGAGAAGATTAGCATGGCCCCTGCGCAAGGATGACACGCAAAATCGTGAAGCGTTCCACATTTTTCCTCAGAGGCTCTCAGGCCTCGATTAATCGGTCTCTACAGCGCATGCTTGGAGAGAGGCCAGTTCCCGCTGCTCTGGAAAGCGGGAAAACTGGTCCTCGTGCGGAAGACGGGGCGCCCTGCGGACTCTCCGTCCGCGTACCGGCCCATAGTGCTGCTCGACGAGGTGGGGAAAGTCTTCGAAAGAATCATTTCGAACCGCCTCGTCGCGCACCTGACGGATATTGGGCCGGACCTATCGGACGGCCAGTTCGGCTTCCGCAGAGGGCGCTCCACGGTGGACGCCATCATGCGCGTTAGGGACCGGACGACGGGGACTGCAGTGTCCAGGGGTAAGGTCGTAGTGGCGGTGTCTCTGGACATCGCCAACGCCTTCAACTCCCTGCCCTGGAGCTGCATCTTGGAGGCACTCCGATATCATCGGGTGCCTACCTACCTCCGTCGTGTAATCGAGGCATACCTGACGGACAGGTCCGTCATCTACCCCGGTCACCGGGGCGAGTGGAACCGGCGAGAGATGTCACGCGGTGTTCCACAGGGTTCGGTTCTGGGGCCGCTCCTGTGGAACATCGGTTATGACTGGGTGTTGCGCACCGACCTCCCGAACGGCGTTAGCATGATATGCTACGCCGACGACACGCTGGTGCTAGCGCACGGGAGGTCGCACCAGGCGGCGGCCGATTTAATGGCGACAGCGGTTGCGACAGTCGTTGAGAGAATCCGGCAGTTGGGACTCGAGGTGGCGCTCCACAAGTCCGAGGCCATGTGTTTTCATGGCCGCGGGAATGCGCCACCTCCTGGTGGGTCTCAAATAATGGCGGGAGGGGTTACCATCGGCGTCGAGACGGCGATGAAGTACCTGGGACTCGTCCGACAGTCGATGGAACTTCGTGGAGCACTTCCGACGTTTGGCTCCAAAGTTGGCGAGGGTGGGGGCTGCGTTTAAGCGCATCCTCCCCAACCTCGGGGGGCCAAACGCCTCCTGCCGGAGGTTATACGCCGGGGTCGTGCGGTCCATGGCCCTCTACGGCGCCCCTGTTTGGGCGCCGAACCTGCTGCAGCGGCCCGCTCGGGCGCTGCTTATGGCACAGAGGGTCATGGCGATCCGAATGATCCGCGGATACCGCACGATCTCTGGGGAGTCGGCGAACCTCCTTGCCGGATTACCGCCGTGGGATCTGGAGGCGAAGGTGCTCGCGTGCGTGTATCGCATGCGCGCGGAGGCACGTCGCCGGGGCGAAACTCCGCTGCCGCGCCAGATAAGTGCGTGGCGGGATGAGCTCCGGCGCGATCTCATGGCGGAATGGCAGCAACGACTGTCGCAACCGAGGGCTGGGCTCGCTGCCATTGCAGCGGTAAGTCCCCTCTTTGAGGAGTGGCTTGAGAGACGCTACGGCGTCCTCACCTACCGCCTGACGCAGGTCCTCACCGGACATGGAAGTTTCGGGAGGTACCTGTGTCTGATGGGGCGGGAGGAAACGCCCGGGTGTCATCACTGCGAGGACCACCCTGAGGACACGGTGGAACACACTGTTGCGGAATGCCCTGCGTGGGCTGAGCACCGCCGTGCCCTCAGGGAAGTGATCGGCGATGGAGACCTCTCGCGTCCGGGCCTAGTTCAGGCCATGATGCGGAGCGAGGGGGACTGGGATGCCGTCTCCTCCTTTTGCGAAGCAGTCATGCTGGCTAAGGAGGAGGCGGGACGCGTGAGGCAGCGAAGCGCTGCCTCCTCGCAACCCAGCCATCGCGAAGGACACACCGGGCGTCGGGGATCGCGGGACGATCTCCGGCCACCGTAAGCGCGGGCCTGCGGACGGCGAGCATGGGTGGCTCCCCGTCCGACCAGAAACAGACCCGAGCGTACGGCGCGTCGCGTTCCGCGCGCGCCTCAAAGAGCCATCAGACCACCACAGATGGGGCCCAATAGGGCCGATGCCGATTCGGAGTCGCGGAGAACCTAACGGGTAACCGGGGCTCCGGCTCGACGTGCAGGAGAAGGAACGGGGTGGTTTTTAGTCAGTAAGAGTCTGACACTCCCTTCCGCCTCACCCAGGCGGGAGCAGTCATTCGATGATTTTCCCCCCTTAAAAAAAAAAAAAAAAAAAAATGTGGCAAACACTAGCACTTCCTGGCGTTTGATCAGTACCGCTGCGTCTTAGGGCTATCTTTGAATCTAATGATAGGTTGGGACAATTTTTTTTTTGTTTATTCATGGGCAAATCATCCATTGTCTCCTCCCGCCTTGTGTGAAGCACGAAAGAGTGGCATACTCTTATTTTTTATGGAATAGGAGGTAAACGAGCATGCGAATCATCTAATAGTAAGCGATCAGCGCCGCACATGGACACTCGCTGCACCAGAGGAGTTTCATTGACTAATAATCACCCCGTTTCTACTTCTACTTTGAGTCAGAGCCAGGGCAACCCGTTAAATCTTCCGCAGCTTCAGACATCATTGAATCTGGTGGAATACTGGGATCTTTACGTTTGGTTCCAGTGTCAACACGTAGACGTGTCAAGATGGCCGAGTAGAGGCCGGAGAGCAACTTGAGAATTGACAGAACAAATTCATCACAGCACGAAATTAGATTTAGCTACTAAAGGTTTTTGACACATGTTGGATGGAGCAAAAATTTCTCTTTCTCTTGGAGCCAAATGCACTGACTGACACATCGGTCAGAATGAGAATCGTCCTTAATTTTTAAAATGTAGTTTTACTAGCCTTACATTATTTTTAACCGTGACCTTCAACTCTCCCTTCCTTTTTAGACAAAATTCAAAGAAGTTGTAGAAATATTCCTAACTACATCAGAAAATAAATATTCCCGAACAAATTTTCTGGATATGTTCGACAGCCCTAACCGTTGAACTGAATCCATATAACTAAAGATTATACGCACCTTCTAAGTGTGAGTGTTAATAAACATTCGTAATAACACTTAGTTAACATTCGTCAGTTAAGACCAGATAATGATGAACTGCTCTCGACTTTCATTTCACACGAGTAATTAGGAATAGTGGGTCATGATATGCTAAGGAATTCCTTCTAGTTTTGTATAGTTTTAGGTAAATATAAAGAGGATTTTACTGTGAATTCGAGGTGTCTATATGGTATTTTATCGGTACATTATCTTCCTTTTTGCAGTTGTCTTGATTGCGTTTGACAGTGTTTCATATAATGAGAAGTAAATAAAGTACGCAGTCACAATACACAATGCATAAAACTATTTCAGATTGTTATTGTACTGCAGAAGAAATTATTTACATATTCACATTGCAACTTCTGTTGTAGTTTAAACTTATATTTATCTCAGTTAAATATATCCTATTTAACTAAGAATTTCCCCAGACCAAACCCGTATGAAAATTAAGTGTTTCTAGATCAAGAATCTCAAAGAAGACCTAGAATATACCTATCCCTACAAGGAAAACAAGTTAGGTACCGGGTTTGAGATCTTTGCAATGTAAAATAACTACTTATACTATTACAATTTTAAGATCAACTTGTAGATAATAACTGTACTTGAGCAGGATCAATGAATCTTTAGTCGACCTTGATTTCGAAAACCGCGGCCGGATTTATGGTTTAAGAATTAGGCACGGTGGAACCTGAATTTGGTTTCAATGAGGATCGTGGGCGAGGTGATTCTGATGGATTGCTGCCATGAATCAGGATTTCGACTAAATTTGGTGGTGAAGTATTAATTTTAGGATCCTTTAATGCTAGTGCCGTCTTCCTCTAATTAGATTTTATGAACGTATTTTGTTTAAGGGGGAAATCATCGAATGACTTCTCCCGCCTGGGTGAGTCCCGCCTTTAGTGTCAGACTCTTACTGACTAAAAATCACCCCGTTCCTTCTCCTGCACGTCGAGCCGGAGCCCCGGTAGCCCGTTAGGTTCTCCGCGACTGTTATGACCATATAGGTTCAAACTCGGAAATATTAGTATACTGTCCAGTATTATACGCAGAAGAATTGGCATCTTTCCTCTACAATAGATTTTATAATTTCGGCCGTCACGTGGAAAATTCTTACGGTTCCTTCTCGCTTAAGGAACACGAGATGACGATTGACGACTAGCGGAATTTACCCAGTTTACTTAAAGATTTTTCCAATTTAATTCACACATTTACTATTCAAGAAAGTTGAAACTTAAGTCGACATTTACATACATTTCATAACACTAACAGAAAGTGTTATAATTACTTGAAAGAACTTAACCAACCCGTATCTGTATAACGCTACACTTCTCGTTGTATACCTAATTGTTTATACTAATTAGTGCTCGATAATGTAATAAGATCGCAATAATGTGCCATGTTTATTGGCACTATCGATTCAGTTTCGAAGTAAACGATGTGGGATAGATACTCTAATTACGTTTAATGTATGTTTATCACGTTTCATTACATAAAACTGACACATTCTGACTCAACATTTAGCTAGAATGCATAGATGGTGTTAGTTTGCTCAGTCATGTATAAAGTTACATAATTGGCAACCTTTTGCTATTTGTGATAAGGGCTTTTTTAAACTTTACTCTATGGTGTGCAAGCAAGTATTGAGTATAAGTTATTATGAAAGACTGTGCACATTATACTTTATTTTCTGACAAATGATTGTTAAAAAGGGATAATGAACATTTCTTCACAATGAAATTAAAAATCCTTAAAATTTTTAAGTATTCGAGCTAATGTCAAATTGATACTTTTATTCTAACCCTTATCCCTTGGGATAAGGGTTAGAATAATAGCTTGCTATTAAGAGTGAAAATTAATATTCCCATGCCACAAACTTCCATTATTTCCTCCTACTTTCTACTGATATTATATAGACGCAAAAGTTTGTGAGAATACATGGATGTATATGTTATTTATTTGTTACTCTTTCATGCAAAAACTACTGGACGGATTTCGATGAATTTCGGGACAGAGATAGATTAAAGTCTGAAATACAACATAGGATAATTTTTAGCCCGGAAACCAGGGCGAATACGCTGGCAGAAGCTAGCTGATGAATTGAAATATCGATGCAGAAGAAATTCGGCAACATTTAAATTCACAAAACAATATTATTTAATACTCGATAACAACTCGCAGAGAAGTTAATAAAAACTACATTAAAATTATTAATTAAAACTGTTTTTCTAGGAGTGGGGTACCCGGCCGGTCTTGGTTACTGATAACGTTATCTATCATAAGCTTACAGGTGAATGACTTGATGTTTAAACAACTTTGGGTAAGCTGTGTTATCACATTAAAAAGCTGTTATGTCTTACGATAACGTTCTTTTAATGATTTATAAATGTTATGTCTTTTTATTTTTGTTTTTTTTAATTGGTGTGAGGTTTTAGTTGGATTAACGATGGGATTGGGTATCTGTGGATTTCACAATATGTTCTCCTAACTTGTTTTCAGTCACCCCCTGCTAGACATACGCCTGATAGGACATCACAAACTACTGTATATTGTATCAGAAAATATTTTTTCAAACAGTAGGTAATTAATTGAATTTCTTACTTGTTTTTCTCCATTCGAATGTATATATTGGATCGAACACCTAGTTTCACTAATGGACAGACTGACAGGCTAATATGTATTACTATTTATTTGTTGACGTTTCAAATAATCAGTTTATGATATAATTGAAATAAATATGAACTTTTCTTTCATATCTTTGATATCTGTTACCTATCTTTTCTTTAGGTATCTTCTTCATTCCATCCTAGATATAAACATAAATATAGTAAGTATAATGAGCTTGTTGTGAGCCTAGTAAAACACTATGTATTCATAGTCCATTCCTCATCACAGATAAACTATATCAATGGGTTTAAGATTATGACACCCCCGCAAAATATGAACCTGCATTACAACTTTACAAGCTAAACTATACAGATACGGGTTATAAGTTATTTTCATCGCGATATAGTCTTTATCAGTGTATAAACGACTGTCTATACCTTGTTGAAAACCTGTATATTCTGTTCAGTATAAACAGACCGATTAAGACTAATAAATACACGTCCTAATGTCTATATTCTAACGATGAAAGATGAAAAATAGAGTTTTAAGGTACTTTAATATTGTTTTTTCATTCTCTTTCTGTTTAGCTGTTGTTGCGGCAGAAAGTCTTAAACCCTAACATCATCCAACTAGTTTTTTTAATAGGTTAAAAATTGACCAATTTCTTCTCCCGCCCGGGTGACGGGGAGTATAGTAGCTCTTACTGACTAAAAACCACCCCGTTCCTACGACTACACTTCAAGCCGGAGCCCCGGCAAGCCTTTAAGTCCTCCACGGCTCAATCCAACCAGTTTGGTGTCGCTTATTCCTGAAGAAATAGCTACAAAAATTTTAAGTCATCATTTTAAAAATACACACCATAGACCAAATTTTAAAAGAGGTTGTTTGAAACCAGATGCCTTCACAAAAAATCTGACAGCCACCCCAACTAACAATGCACCCTTTAAACGCGTTAGAGCGAGATAATGCAATCTTTGGAACCTTTTGTGTGACTCGGCCATAAGAATCCGGCTTTAAAAGGTTGCATAGACCTTTTTCTAAGTCAATAGGAAGACATTACGTAATAGAAAAGTTAAGCATATTTAGTACACATTTTTACTTTTAAGACTTTGACTGCCAATAAAAAACTTTTGAAGGTATATCCTCCGCTAACGCCGGTCACCGGTGACCCCCATGGCGTTTAATGTGTTAAAAACGTTTATGCTATAAACGACCTTTCCTGAATTAAACAGACTCACGACTTTGTAAGCCTAAATCAAGTTCTAATTTTACTACATATAATTTTACCACTACATATTTCCCAATTAAAACTTAAGTAGCTGTCATAAGAAAACCACTTCCAATTTATGACCTAGACCCATTTGAAGCCATAGAACCCATAAACTCGTACAAAGGTTTATGGCAACCCGACTTCAACGCATCAAGCTAGTTCTTATACTTAAACAGAATATTCATAAACAGTTCTATAAAATTTACACCAGCGATAATCATGTGTTAATTATGAGACCCTATAAAATGTTTATAACTGACTTTAATTATTGCAAACTATAACGTCTTGGAAGTTAATAACTAGGCATACGATGAACTCTTTGGGATTCAAGTTCAACTATCATATTAATGCATTTTGTTTAATTGAACTCGTAATAGGGATGGCTAATGATCATTGTGCCCTCGGTATTATCATATCTTTATAATACTGATGGAAAGTTCTATCGAAATTATGAACATAACAACATCACGCCTTTTATCCCATGTTTATGAGTCCCATGGAATAGGAGGTGAGCCTATTGCCCTATACCGGGCACAATTCCAGACTTCGTGCTGCCACTGAGATTTTTTTAAACCCTTGCCCGGCAGTCGCACTTGTGACCACTTGGCCAACGAGACAACGAAATTATTGACGTCACATCCAATATAGTGTGGTGACGTCAGAGTAGAATATATTAACACCACCCCTGCTCTACCCGCGGGTGTCGTAACGTAAGTCACATTTGACAGCGAATGGGCAATAACGCTCTCTGGTCCAACTCCAACCCGCCTGGTAGCTTGAAGCCTTCCCAGCTTGGAAATTATGGCAAACCATCTGATGTAGAGGGAGCTGTTGTTGATGATGAGAATGAAGTCTTGTATGTCATTCTTATAAGTTAAGTAATCAAATTGGTACACACTGGAGACTCTTTTGTCCAATTATAGTGTCCACTACTCATTATCATACAACATCAGGACTATGTTTCAGACTCAACATCAGTTGAAGGACTTTCAATAGGTAACAAAACTCAGCAATAACATTTAGTCCTACGTAAAAATTGCATTTGGAATTAATCAACTACGTTTTTAATAGTCATTAAGACCAATGACCGCTAAAGCTGCACTTTATCAAATCCAAGTCTAAGCCGCTGCAACAACAAATACGATAAAAAAATAATCAACATTTCTATTTGTCTGTTTTCCTACACCTTGCTTAACTAAATCAAGTATTAGTAATTTAGGTCCCTTTTCACCAAGCTCTGTAAAAACTCAGTTACACGTAACCTAAGTTTAAAGTAACCTAAGTTCTGTGTTCTGTGTTTTCTGTACTGAGTTCCGTGTAAACTAGTTTCTGTTTGTAGCGGTGAAATGTAAAATGAAGCTGTAACTTCGTTTAAACGCTTTAAATTCGATTAGACGCTTTAAATCAGTTTTGTTAGGTGTAATCGTGATCAGTTTCGTTGGTGAAAAGGGACCTTAGTAGACAGGTTGGATTAAGGTCTAGACACAAATAGATTTGGGTACTCACCTTGCGCCCACAATAACTTGGTCTCTTGCGACATCGAACAGCAATTGCGAAAATGAACCAGAACTGCTATCCTCGAACACGTCGCTGTGATCCGTCGTCAAAAGATCTAGGAATAAATAAACATATTAAATAGAAATGGTTATAAAGTCACTATAGAAACATTAATTGGTTTTAAACACTTAAATATCGTAATAGAAAACCTTGAAAGATGAACACAAAGAGAGGGCAGGCTTCTTGCAGTTAGCATACAGAACTAAATTAAAGGATGCATTACTTGACTTAATACAAATAAATAGAAAGAACTCGGAAAGAAAAGCATTCACGTTTGCAATCTAGTTAACTAAGTTTAAGTGTGGGAGAGCCATGCTTCGGCATCGATGGGCCGGCTCGATCGGAGTGATACCACGGCCTCACAGAAAACCGACGTGAAGCAACGCTTGTGTTGTGTTTCGTCGTGTGACTGCGGTTACCGGAGGAGGCCCAATTACCCTCCCCTTCCCCAATCTCACCAATTCCTGAATCACCAACGATCCTCAAACTCCTAATTCCCCAAAAGGCCGGTAACGCACTTGTAACGCCTCTGGTGTTCCAGGTGTCCATGGGCGACGCTGATTGCTTATCATCAGGTGATCCGTCTGCTAGTTTACCGGCTTATGCCATAAAAAAAATTGCTATTTAAAACATACCGCTGTACGAAAGAGTCATTTACTCAATGGAACAAAATCGTTACTAAAGAATAATTAGTTTAAGTATGGCAGATAAAGTATTATTCTGTATCCAAAATACATCCATAGCATAACATAACATCACGCCTTTTATCTCCGAAGGGGTAGGCAGAGGTGCACATTATACCACCACTATACAATGTAACACCCACTTTTCACTATTTATGTTATGAGTCCCATGTAATAGGGGGTGAGTCTATTGTCATATAATTACCGGGCACAATTCCAGACTCCGTGCTACTACTGAGAATATTTTAAAAAACCCAGTAATTCTTTGCCCGACCCGGGAATCGAACCCGAGACCCGAATCTAGTTCATGAAAGTTGTTGACAAACATTGTACGGAATAAATTAAAAATGTTAACTATCTCAAGCTGGCAGGTTCATTTTCATAACATCTATGTTGAATACTGATTGATTAGGTACCATTTTTGAATAACAAATTAGATGATTTTAATTCTCTTCTTAATGTAATACAAACCCACGCGAATTCTTGGTACTACAATCTGAATTCGTCGCTTAAAATAGACAAGACATGTATAATTTTAATAAGAATAGGTAGGTTGGGTTTAAAAATGCAGTGTGGAATTTATTTGCTTGATGCATACATAATTATAATATTGTTCCAAGAACATAATGGAGTATTAATGAGTGTGTTTATATATTATATTATTTCCTTATAATTTGCAAACTGTAACATAGTGGACAGTAAGCAAACTAATGCATATAAAAGTACCTATTACTTAGAATTTAGTTAGCGATATCTTAAAGAAGGGCCAAATTAAATGTACCCTTAACCGACGAGCATGCATGAAAAGATTGATGACTGTTAATGAAGCGAAAGAGGTATGTAGGAATAGTAGTAATTAGCGTTCCCTAGTCTCTGCCTACCCCCATGGGAGACAGGCGTGAAGTTATGTATGTATGTATGTATGTAGCTGGTTGAGCTCTTTCTCCTTACTAAAACATCGCTATTATTATAATTTGTTCCTAACAGGGTAGGTTAATGTCAGTTTTCTGGTACAATATAACATCCACTTTTCACTATTTATGTTATGAGTCCCATGTAATAGAGGATAAGCCTATTGCCATATACTGGGCACAATTCCAGACTCAATGCTACTACTGAGATTTTTTTTAAAACCCAATTATACTTAGGTCCTAACATACAATACAGAAAGAATTGAACCATGTATAAGATGTATAAGTTTAAGGCATGGAGACTAAAATCAAACATGCTAATACCGAGCTTGAACTAATAACTCAATTCAAATCTGTACTGAAGCACCGAACAGCTTAACCAAGCCAAGCCCTTGAACAGCTTACAATACAGTACTTACAAAGCCCAAGCTGACAGTTAGGCGAAGTAATTAGCTTTCTACATTTAGGCTAGCCTGTTTGACTTGTAAAACTGATTACATATGCAACAACACATTGTACACGACGACCAGAATAAATTGAACCCTCTACGTGGCGCTGTTTGCTAAGGAAATCATAGATAAATATTGAAATAGAATTCGTTTATACGCATCATTATTTTATTGTTTATTGTTTTTTAAAAACATTCAAACTCAAAATAAGTCCTTAGCAGTAAACTAACAATTTAATTTTTGTAATAAAATTATCATGTTCTGATTTTTGACTTCTCATTATGTATTTGTCCGTAACGACTAATTAAAATAGTCGGTAAGCAATCGATATCGTGAATGAGAACTCATTTTTTCTCCAGATGACTCTCAACAAACTTACTTTTTAAAACAGTTGATCCAATTATCTATGACTAGTTCCAAATTCCACCGTGGTTCAAGATAATCTGGTCGTTCCGTACCATGTAATTGTCGTGTATCTGTCATCGATTTGAATGTTTATAGTGGCGATTAAGCGATTACCATGCGGTGATTATTTTCACACTCATTGTACACACAAATACACGATGAAGCACAATAAACACAGATTTTTGTAAATATTAGACCATATGGACGGTTTGATCCAAATATTTGAAGTTAGTGTTTGGAATGTAAACAGTGAAATAATTAGATCTGACGTTTGGCACCTTTTGTTGATCTTTTCAATCGAATGGGAAAAATGTGGTCCATTCTTGATATGTCCGTACAAAGATTTATAAATATTGCCTTTGGAAGAAGTAAACTTTCCAATGGCTTTTTAAACATGATTGTATTCTTGTACTAAGTATTTAGAATTTGCAAATCCTGAGAGATAGTGACGTAATACAACATCCTGACTTTTTTACCGACTTTTCAGCAGATCGTCTCTAGTTTACTCTTACGAATTTATTTAATATTAGAAAAATTACAATTCTATATAGGTAAGTACCTTGTCTGTTGATTATCCTGAAGTCATCTTCTGGAAGTTGTCCTTTGCTGAGTGCACTGAGCAGTATTAGTGCAGCTACTTTGTACACTGACCACATCATTCTCGATGATTATTGCTGATCTGTAAAAAGGAGAAACAATTTCCAGATGTAAACAAAATAGTTAATGGTATGATTTATGATGACAAGAAAAAAATAACGTAGCGGTGACTGAGTTTTGATAATCACAATTTTAATAAACTTATAATAAAGTTACTGTAGCTAAACATGAAGTCGAAAAAATGGTGTTTTATTTTGTCGCTAGAGTAAAAAACTGCACGGAAGTATACTAGTTTTAGTTTATTTTTCGTAGAATCCATTCTAAACTTAATGACAGTAGAACCTGTCGAACAGTTTACCATTCGTTAGCAAACACGATAGCGATGCCGTTGCCAAACATTACTATCTTGATTTCTTTAATATTCTCGACATCCGAAATCCATATATCATGCAAATATTTGCAATAAACTCCAAACTTGAATATCATTCGCGAAAAATCTAAAAATACTCCAACAGCTAACATAAATAAGATTCATCAAATAGTTGTGTGTATCTCATATCTTGTCCCGTAATTATTCAAAACTATTGGAAACGCATTAAAATCAATTTGCTTAATTGCCTGTACGGCGATGCCAATCCGTTATGTTGGAGTTAGAAGCTCTAAACTGGTTTTAACTATGGACTGCGTACGTAGTCTTCAAACATTATCGATTCTCGCTGTCAATTCATGTCCATTTGTCTATCTGTCTGTCAGTACTGTATCTAGTTTTAGTTCATGAAGCCCATCGTCCCACTTAGGCATAATAACGCTGGGTGAGCACTGAAGATATGGAGTCATTGCCTCCATTAGGCTTACGTACTTAATGAGTTTCACTTGAAAACCTAAGCTTCAAGTTAATTCAAGCATTGCTAAGTCGATCTTTCTACCAATGAGCTTGGTTTTCAAAAGCTTATCGCTAAGCAATCATCTTGGAAGATTATATTAGTAAGAAACTAGATGGTCCATTTAGAGCCTCTTACTATCTAAAACTATTGAACGAGTTGAATCAATGAATAATTGCAGAAATAAGCTATTTCCACCAATATTATAGCATTTAGTAACTACCTATCGATTGTATACGAAAATGAGACAGAAAAAATAAAATGTAGTATGTCTGGCACACATTAAAATATTAATGAATTGAGTTCGTTGACAAACGTACGAGCAACTGGTATTAGTAATCCTTTCATAAATAATGTATTAATTTGTATAAATAAACTTCTATACATTGGAGACAAAAGAAACGCCGATCGGTATCGCGTATCAATTTTTTATACCACCATCGTCTTTTATGGATGAATGAATCGCCGTGAACAGACATCGAAGCTTTATATGTACAAGAAACATGCATGTTTTAGCAAGACTATAACGTAATGGATACTACGGACCTTCCGTAATAGAACACACAGCCTTATAATCCCATTTTTTATCTTGACGGAAAATTATCAAATGAATTCTTCTGCCCTGGGTGAGGCGTGAGGGAGTGTCAGACTCTTACTGATTAAAACCACTCAGTTCCAACTATGGAACCACTTTTTACCGGTTTCCCCTATGAGTCCTATGAAATACTGTAGAGAGTGAACATGGGCCTACCGCTGAGGGCTTAACGGGTTGTCAGGGCTCCGACTCGGAGAGCAGGAGTAGGAACGGAGTGGTTTTTAGTCAGTAAGAGTCTGACACTCCCTCTCGCCTCACCCGGGCGGGAGAAACAAATTGATTATTTTCCCCTGTAAAAAAATTGGCATAGACGAGAAAAATAATAGAATCTGTGCTCTTAAGACTAGTTTCCTAAGTGCTAAACAGGCTACGAACTCCTACGATGCAGTTTCATGACGATACTAATATTTATTGCTGTTTTATTCCTTTAAAATATACCCTTGTACAAAAGGTATAATTATTACGTCCTTATTGCATTCTTGTTAATAAACTAAGACTTAGTTATTTAAATGATTAACAAAAGGCAATGAATGACATTTCCTTTCCATTCATTTTATTTTTAACATTAAGACATAATCTGATTAACAAGCAAAAATGCAAAATAATAGTTACTAAACAAGTCTCTATCCTCGATCCCATTTAAAATCACTTAGCCAGTATTACCTTACTAAACAAAAAATATACCACCTGTTGCCCATTACAAGTTCATCTATAAAACATCGATATGCGTAACGACCATTTTAAATTCAGTCCAAGTGATCTTTTATTACTTATAATTATTTAGCAATGTCTGTCGGAAACTCTTTTGCTTAGTTATTACCCATAACATTTTATTAATAATACATTTGATAATTGCAAAATATGATTACATCGCCATGACTAAGCACACGGCAAATCGATCTTGTTATAGTTCCACAAAGTTAACCGAACAAGCGGCCGGAATTGGAACTAATAGAAGCCCATACAAAAAAAATACTCTAATACGACACTAGCGCCACAGTCGACCGCAAAAATCGTTGTGGCTATATACTCGCTTGATCTAACAACAACTATGATACAGCATACAGCTGTCAAATGTTTTAGATTGTTTTTCTAAAGCCATAATTATATCACACTTGTCTGTAGTCTGTGATTATTCACCATACAAACTTTACAAATAATGGAACTGAAAAACTCAACGCGTTGCTAGAAATTGAACTCAAGACATAATGCTTTCGACCATTAGATCAACAAGGCAAACAGCTTTCTAACAACACTACAATACCTGTGATTCTCTGAAGAGGTAGGCAGAGACGAAGCTATTACCGGGCACGATTCAAAGATCCGTGCTACGGAGAATTTCGAAACCAATTTTCTAAATGGAAGAAAATCAGAATATTCAGCGCACGCGCCGTTTCGTATACTCTCTATTGTGGGACATAACAACCAATATTCTCCCCAAGACTTTCACAAATCAGTTCCATTTTTTGTTACATCTAACTTGTAATACTGCTAACGTAATATTTGTTTCGCTTAGCGAAAGCATTCGAAGCGAAAACAAGCCTGAAGACACATAATAGAAAGTATGTAATAGAAACGTTCTAGACATTAAAGTAAAAGTAACAATAAAATAAGAAGCTGGATTGTAATTAGATGGCGTAAAACATATAACAGCTAGTCAGAATATTGCAAAGCCAGTTAACAATTTAGAGGAGTCTAACGATATTAATTTTATTGAATAACGGAATAAGTAATCTTATCTTTCTGTTGTATTTAAGATAGACAATCACATCTTCCTTGCGTATTTCGTACGCCTCGTGAGTTTTAACTACAAAGCAAAAATTAATGTTAAACTAGATATCATTGAACGTTTCATTAGAATTATGAAAATGTCGACTACGTTATTCCTCAAAAAGGTAAATGACCTGTCTCAAAGTGTCGTTGTGAAGCAATATTCATTTACAAAGTTAAATTAATACATAGTGGTGACTTCATGCAAAATAAGTAATCACAACTGGTGCCACTGTTATACTACTGTTATTACGACGACAAATGAACTCAGTTGTCCAAACGACGCGTGCGCAATTACCTAATTGATTTATTAGTACCACAGACAATTTATTTTTTTAAACATCGAAGCGTTCCATGCTACAGATAACATAACGTTTAAAGAGTCCGTATCTCAAGGAGGTTCAACTACACCGACCTAAATATTGAGTGCTCATTTATTTCATATCTTATGATAGACGTTTATTTTGATATCGGCTTCCGTGTTTCAAATTCGGCCGATGGGTTGGGAGCGGCTTTCAAAATTCGGTAGCGACTCGGTGAATGCGCAAATATTATTTTGCCGATATGCCGATTTGATATCTTAGTGTTGTTAAATAAATACAGAAGTTTAAATAAATATCTTGGTTGATAGTTTATCTGGCTTATATGGAAGGTTGGATAATTTAGTGCATGGTATTTAGGTTGTACTTCTAAGCTAGTTCAGTTTAAGTCACATTGAATGACCTAAGATCGTTATCTAGTAAGTTCTAAAAAAGAAAAATAATAAATGGCAGTCTACAAGTTTCAGAAACTAGTCTTTATATGAAAAATACAACGTTTTTTTCGAACAAAACGACCATAATTCTAGATGAAAAGTAACATTAGAATGCATGTACAACAAAGTTACTTAGAATAGTTATATAGGGCAGCACAGATCACAAATAAAATTCATCACACAGCAATATTTCTCTACAATCTCCAACAAAAGTAGTTCACTATAAATATTAATTATATCGACCATACAATTGTAACATTCATCAAAATTCCGTGTAGAATACAAGTCCTCTTTCTGCTATCTAATCGAGAGTGCAGCATGTTTATAGCTCTACAAACAATGAAATAACAAAGCCACCGCAATAATATACTAGATACCAGACTATTTAAACTGAACGGGTAATATAATTATGTAAAATTAAGTACATAGTACTAGTAATAATGTTCACACACTTTCTAAGTGTTTCTTGGAGTCCTACGATAACTAGGTACCAAAACATTAAGTAAGATATCCTGATATGTCTTTGTTGGAGATTGTAGAAGTAGAGTTAAAAAATTTAAAAAAATTCATTGCTCATTTTATAGGCCCCGACTCGCTTGAAACTAATCGAGTAACCTCGTGAAATGTTAGTAAGTCGTACAACCTTTGTAACTTAATAACTTACGATAGCTACTATAAAAAGTTATGAATAAAGAATTCATTTCATTTTTATTTTTCCAGTTTATGTAGTAACTAGCTAACAAGTTTTTAACCACTCTGCTCTGCTCGTTGTCTACAGCCTTTCTCGACCAATGAACTATCCAACACAAAAATATTTTTTTCAATTCGGACAGTAGTTCCTGAAATTAGTGCGTTCAAAAAAACAAACTCTTCAGCTTTATATAAAAAGTTATAAGAAACATAAGATTTAACTGTTTCACTTAGTCCAATTCTTTAATCCCGCCCACCTGCGCAACGCGTGACCCATTTCCAAAAGCCACTTGTCTTACAAACCTTATCTCAGTAAGTACCTACCTAATACCTTGTTGACTCTATAATGTGCACATAAATAATTTTTAAAAC